GGGGGGGGGGCCTTGAGGGTTAGTTTTGTGGTTCTAAGTCTGGATTCCTGAGGACACTTCTGAAGTTGGAGGGGAATTAATTCCTCATTCTGGGTGCTGCTTCCATTGCCTGATGCCTTTGGGGCAGGCTGATTTAGCCTCATCCATCCACGTTTTAGGAGCTATTCATCCAGCTCCCTGTCTTCCACACCACACCTTTCTCTAGTTATGACTAATTAGAACAAAACACTCTCTGTACCCATACACGACCTTTACACTGAAACGGCAATAAATAGGATTTTTAGAACATGACATATTTTCATGCATATACCCTATCTCTGTACAGCCCTAGGAATTGATAAACACACCTTTCGTAGTCTTCCCTCACTAACACTGTGGTTTCCTTTACTAATAAGTGAACAGTTCTAAAGCGTGAGTTGGTACATTGTCATTTATTTCAGTCCTGTGGCACACACTGAATATGATATGCTTGAAAAACACATATTTCCTTTGTTCTTTCCAGTGCTAATATTAACTTTAACCACACATTTCTATAAATTAAATTTACTAGGAAATCTCACATTTAAAAAATACAAGAATACGCCAGAATATCACAATCAACATGAAAATGAACAGAATTCAAAGTAGTGTGTCGGGAACACTTCATTGTCGTGGCAAATGTCACGTGACGGAAATCCCACTTGGCTTCATTTAATTAAAAAGCTGAAAAAGAGAGAAAATGATGAGTGGAAGTACGAAAAACACAATATGCTGTTTATTCCATTCGAAGTTAGTACATATAAATACAACTAATGTCATAATTATACTAATTCACCTCATTCTAGTGTTTCTATCAGGGTAACTGCACTGAACTAGTTCCTGTAACGGGTCAGGCTGGCGCTGAATATAGGTCAGTGGTGGGCGAGGGTGCTGGTAAGAACTTGACTTTGTGGTGGGCAAGTTCAGCTAAAACCCCGTTTCTGTGAGCCACTCACTGTTGGCTAGACCAGTGGCTAAACCAGCAGTTAGCCTGGCGATGTAGGGGAAAGGAAGGCATGGACTGAAATAAATGCTCAAAGCGGGTAATTTCAGTGTCCTAAAGAAAACATTCTTTCCCATCATTCAATTTATAATTCATTTACTTAATGATAAACACTTGATCATTTTTATGAAATTTATAATTTCATTATATTGAACCAGAAAAAATGTCTACAAAAATGTTAATAAAAGTATCATCAGATTCTGAAGAAACAACACAAATAGATGCTGTACATACAGAAGTAAAAATAAAAAATAATTTTGTAACTCCCCCAATCGAAGCTTTAATATAGAAGAGAAATATATTTGTTTGTAAAATAGTTTTAATTGGATATTTATGCCTTTCAGCTAACATGTGGCAAGTTTTTTTTAAGTCTTGACAACATAACTTTGTAGGACAATCAAGAGACAAACCAGTTTTCAACTAAATATTAAAACAAGAATGAAATTAATGATTACAATAGTTGAAAAGCCGTGTAGTTGGAAAAATAATAAGTTTGATATTTGGCTGTTTAAATGACAATATCCTAGGTATAAATGCTGTGTCTTTCTGAACCTCGGTTTCCTCATTAGTGACAAAAAGGCTTGTTTTGCATGACGCCCAAAGTTCTTTCCAATGCTCGTATTTATCATCTTGGTGATACTATATGCTATAGGTAAATACATAGTCTAAAATATTTTATTATAAAACATTACATAAATATTTGTTATACATTTAAAATGTTTTATATAACAAATTAAAATATAAAGTATGCAATGCAAGCAAAAACAACTGTGTACCTGTATCTGAAGAATTATTAAAAGACAGAACTCATGTGCTGGGATTTAGAAGCCACAAGACATTGCGTCTGTTTTTCAAGACAAGTCATGACTGCTGGATAATCATCTCCATGAGCATGTCAGCAGTGAACTTCGTCAGAGCCCTAAGCTACAGGTGCTGTTCAGTCCCCAGATCCTTAACCACACAGATGGCAAAGCAGCGAGATCTGACACGTGCAAATGAACCTGTTGGCACTTTCTGTCTTCCGTGATAAGCGTGCCCTGAAGATAAAGCTAACTGAAGAATCGGGGGGTAATGAAAACAGAAAACTTGGCCATATTTTAAACTATAATTAAACTTGGAGAAACTGTAGCTTAAAGAAACAGGATTCGTAGTTTTCCTTCTCTTTTTGTTTTTAAAGGGCTGATCTGAACATTTCAAGCTACGGTGCACTAAAGATCACCCTTTATCACTGCTAAAAATATTACCAGCATAAAAGCAAAATAGCAATATGACCCTTTATGATCTTATACTTCCTGACTTTTTTGGGCGCTAGCAAGGTTAAAAAGGTTCTATGATTTTTAGATGTTGCTACATTTAGAATTAAAGGATATTTGTATTTTCTTAATATTAAAATAGATGGAACTCCTTAGTTACCATGCTCTTTGTTCATGCCAGGGGTCCTTCCAAACAGAAATACTTAATTATTTTTTTAAAAGCTGTTACAAAATCTTGTTCATAATTTATTATGAAGTGATAAATATGTACTTAGTCTTGAAATGATCCTTTTATTATCTGTCCTACAATAAAGGATAAATCTAACAGAGTACTTATTCTTTTATATTTAAAACAATCTTTTTCATAAAGAGGTAAAACAACTTCTTTGCAACAGTTTGTTCAAGACATTAGAAAGGCTTAAACCATAGAAGTGTCAAAAATGTTTTGTTAGTTAAAATGTTAGAAAAATATGAACTATTATTCTCTAGGTAATCATTCAGTCAGTCATGTTTGATTTTTATTTCCATTACATAAATACTAAATGTCCAACGTGTGTTCCAGTATGAATGTTTTATATTGACTTCCTCACTCAAGAGCAGTCTTTCATTTCTGTCCATCAGGGATTGACTTTTCCCCCCCTTTTCACATTTACCTGTCTAATAATTTTGATGTATAATCTAACAGTTCTAGTAGATTTATGCTTCTAGCAGCTCTAGTATTATCTTTCCTAATAATGCTTATCACAAAAACATGTAAAATGATTTGTTTCATACGTAAGAACTGTTATGAATACTAAAAACCGAGCACATCCCTCTTGTTTGGAAAGTGCGCCTTAGTGTTGCGGGCTGTTGCCTCAGAGGGAGAGTCTGCCTTGGGTGTCTGGACTCCTCTCCGCCCTCGGACGTGGTCCCCTTATATTCCCGATGGGGAGCACACAGACTGGCATATTCTAGAGCAAATGCATGCTTGGTCAAGTTTAACTCGAGCAGCAACATAAGATGGAAGCTACTTGGCAAGGGTGGTGAACGGCCAAGGAGCTCAGACAGCGGGCCAGAACCAGCCAAATACGCCCGAAGCTCCCGGTTCTCCTCGCCTAAGGGACTATTCCTTGCCTGCGAGACCTGATTATTGCTCAGAGCGCACCAGGAAGGCAGGGCAGGCACTGTGAACAAAGGGGAATGGAACCAGGATCTCCAAACACTTTTCTTTTTAGGTCTGGCTCTTCTGATTTTCCCCACAGTAGCCAATACTCAGGATTTAGATAAGTGTGGCCCTTGACTTGCTGAGGAGTGCCGTTCCACAAGTTCATTAGCAAGAGTGTTATGTGAAATTCAAAATAAGTTTTTCTAGAAAACATGATGTAAAGTGGTAGTTCTTTTCTCAAGTTCAGGCCCCACAGAAGTTTCAATTGATCATCTATTTGTAGAATATTGTGCAGAAATGGGTGTTGCACAAAATGGAGTAATTGAAAATCATGGACATTAGGCTGCTTTTCCCGAGGAGAGAAAGATACGGATATAGTGAAATATAACAGTGACATACTTGATACGATGGCAAGTCAAAGTGTCACAAGAGGGTCAATGGGGGAGGGGAAGGGACATCTGTAATACTTTCAACAATAAAGATAAATTTAAAAGAAAAGCAATCAAGCAAAGCAAAACTGGCTGAGCAAAAGCAGAATTCAGAGATGCCAGCCTGGGCGAAGGAGCTGGCTGAAGAAGGCACCAAAGCATGAAAACACATTGGGTGTTCAGTGTGGCTGTAAAAGGCCACAAAGTAAACATTTTGGACTTTGTGGGCTGGAAGTCTGTCAGAACTACTCAACTAAGCTGTTTGAAAAGTAGCTACAGACAAAAATAAGCAAATGAACCTTGCTGTGCACCAATAAAATTTAATTCCCAGACACTGAAATGTGAAATTATATAAATTTTCACGTCACAAAATATTTTTTTCCATGATTTAATAAAACTAGTCTCAGTTTATGTGGCGTGCAAGAGTGGGCAGCAGGCTGGACCCAGCCCTCAGTGGCAGCGGGGCCTGCACAACCACAGGACACAATGAAGACAAGAGACAGATGGAACCAAACTTCAAAAAAAGTGAAATTTGAGGGGATTTACACAATGGAATTGTTACATAGCTAGTAAAATCATATTGTAGAATAGTTAATATACAAAATAAATTCAGTGCTAGCACTGCAATAACATTTCTTTTTCTGAACTATGGCTCAGTTGGTAATTAGATCAAATTCTTAATATTGATGTTTCACAAAACTCGGGAGTCCAATTAAATTCATCCAAAGGTTCAGAGAAAAATCTGTTCCTCATTCAACTCAATCATGCAAATATAAAACAAGTTACTTAACCTTCAGTGCAAAGAAAAATCCTGGTTAGAAAAAAGCAGATTAACTATAAATGAGTTTAAAATATTTACATCAGAACTAATGATAATAATTAGCATCCAATATTTGAGTAATTAATACTATGTGCCATTTACTATGTAGTGGCAACGTGCCAAGTGATTTTACAGGCATTTTCTCATCCTTACAATAAGCGCAAGAAATATGTAAAATGTTTCCATTTACAAATGAGAAAACCAAGGTTTAGAAAAGTTAAGTAACTTTTTGAAGGGCACAGAGCTAGTAACAAGCAGATCAGGGATTTAAATCAGGAGGTTTATTATTAAAACTTAAAAGGCAATCTGGGAGCATTGAGTGATGGTGTGAAACATTGACACTAGGAAAAAAACCTTAATAAAATGCGGGGAAGATTTATGAAGTAGGATAACATTGACAGTAGACTTTTATCCCCTTTGGCATATAGAATGACAAGAAAATAGCAGTGTGATGTATTGAGAAAACATGAAGGGCATACGTGTTTAAGGTTTTGTGAGGTTTAAGACAAAACATAAATGAAAATGTAAGAGTACTCCATATAGAAGAAACTAAAGGTTGTAGATTAAACAGAATCCAAAATTGTGAAGAAAGAATGAAAAATTAGCTTGGAAATAATTACGGACGTAGCTCCGTGTATCCGCGGTATTTCTTGTACAATAAAAGGATGGAGCTCAGGAGGGTGGCGATGCCAGGGCCCTGCCTGCCACGCCCCAAGCTTTCAACACACTGCGTTTCCCCAGCTTCTCTGCTAGGCTCTGTTCACTTCCGTTTCTTGGCAGCTCCTACTTAGGGTTTTCATCTAAATTAGGTTAAATTTCACATCCACAGCCACTCCTGGGCCTGACTTCCATCTCTGACTTCTCTCTGATTTCACTTACATTTCCAGCTCCATGAGGCCTGCTGAGGGCAGGCCCGTCCCTCGTCCAGCCTGGTGGGGCTTTGACAAGGGAGTGGGACTGGCCACACAGTGAGGACGTTCAACTCCACGTTCACATAGACATAAAGCAAGCAAGCGTGGACTGCGGGTCAGAAATGCTCACTTATATATGTTGAGGGTGAGGCCTGGAATATGTATTTTGAAAGCTTCCTGGGTGATTATGTCTGTGCACTCCTGGAAAGAACTAGCATACTGGAGAGAATTATATTAAATGACAACTAATCCTTAGAAAAAGTACAAACTGGAAGAAAATTCTTCAAAGCATAAGAAAAACAGTGCTGTCAAATGTAACGTTATTCAATGAAACTAGTAAAAACTTAATTTCTCTCCTTTTCCTATTCATTACATGGCTGTCAGAGGAGTGCAGATGCGTAATGATTAGTAATGATACACCAGGAAAGCTAGGGTTCCCGCTCTACCTCCCCCCACTGGCTGCCTCAGATTACCCCTTCCTGTACTCTACCTTTAACAAAAATAGGGATGCCTTTTCTTTGGCATATTGTAAGTGCTATAGATTGAAATGGATTTTTTTTTTCAGTGTTTTTGGCATCCTAGATTAAAAAAATTAAAGGAAATACAAATACTCGTTTACAAACTAAGGCTCAAATCATACAGAACCATGATTCTCAGTGCTGGGGTAGGGGAAAGAGAAAAACATCATCTTTCTTGGGTATGCAGAACGTTCGATTTGATTAGTCTGATCAGTTCATACTTTCAAAACCAAAATGAGCTGGTCATCTAATGTCAAGGACAAAATGAAGAACTGGAGACTTTACTTGCCCTTTTCATTACTCTTGTTGCAGTTGGAGCTATGCCTTTGAAAATTCATTTGCCTGCAGGCAGGGTTTAAGGCAGATGATCCCACAGCTCACATGTGTTACTCACGTTTCCTTCATTCCTTTAGAGCAATTATTTGTAATGGGTGTGGGACAAAGAAAATGGGAAATGAGCCTCCACCCACATGAGAAAAGAGCGAGGTGGGGCTGAAGAGTCTTCCTCCTCTTAGAGCTCCAGGGTTAGTTTCCTCCCGGAGGGAAGGCCAAGCATTGCAGGCGGCCACCATCCAGTAAAACAGTCTCTTAAAATAACTGCCCAGTTCACATGTGGAAAGGGTGTAAGGTAGGACGAGATTTTATTTTCTACGAATATATCACTAGTTGTACTAACTCAGCAGTTTGCAAGATCTCTGCAAAAGGAAATACAGGCCCTTGACTTCTTCATTAGAGAGGAGGGTGGGCGAAGCTATTGGAAGGACTCCCTAGAGAAAGGAAAGCAGAGCATTTACTCTCTCAAAAGAAGCTGAAGAAGGAATGCGCTCAAGGAGGACGCTGGTGCCTAATTCATAAAATGACCAAGTATAATTTGGCTCGCCAACTGTATTGTGTTTTAGTAAAAGTTTAAAGTTTGGCTACGATGGTGTGGTTTCAGAATAAAATTTCAACATCTTCCCACCTCTAATCATGACGATATGTTGGTGGAAATCTTGTGAGATATTCATTATGACAACTCTAGTGACCAGAGATTATTTTATCATTTAATTTTCCCTTTCAAGTTGGCTTTCTTATTTGAAAAAGCTGAAACTTTGCAGAATTCAAAATATGATGCAAAGTTTTTTAAACACTTAACAGTGGGTTATATGAGAAAAAATTGCAAATGAAGTAAAAATCATGACAGATAGATAAACCGAGAGAAAAAGAAATTTTGTTGAATTCAACAAAGCTTAAAACTCATTTTGTTATATGTAGATGCACATATATTTATATATATGTATATATACACATACATATATGTACACATGCCCCCCTCTCTACAGTAAAACGACTCTCCATGGGAACGGGGGCCGTGCCTTATGTCTCCTTCGTATAATCTATGCTGAACACGCAGCAGGTGCTCAAAAGCTTGCTTAACTGAGTTTAAAACCTCTGGGCAAATGAGCTGGTTACTTGACATCAGTCCTGAAACTCCGACTTTCCTGCGCCAGCGGAGGGAAAGCAGGCGCAGGGTGAGGGCGTTACCTGTAGGGGTAGCCGTGGTACTTGGAGCGGAATATGGAGAGGAGAAAGCTGAAGAAGAACACGACCAGGCCCAGGCCCACCAGGCAAATAACTGGAGACAGAAAACGCCGTTAGTCTCGGCCCACGCAGCCCAAGTGTCTCCGTGTCGGAAGGCACTTGGGAATTAGTGTACTTACATTTAATACTTCAGGCACACACAGGTACACGAAGTCAGATAATCCCAAATGCAACGTGTTCATTACTTCCCACATTCCCCTCACTCAATGAAAATGTATATTTTGGGTATGAAAACAACCCAAGTGACTGACCTAAGTCTTCTGGTGGTTTTCTTCTCTTAAGAGAGAGCCTACAAGTACTAAGACGCCCCAGGGGGATAAAAAAACAAAATGTGCGATAAACCACAAACAAAATTACCAGCCCTGCATTATGAAGCATTGGCTATATTAGCAGAGACATGTGCACTATTGGAATGTTAAATATAATTTCTTTCTCAGGGCCATGCAATATTTATGAAAAATATCATTTTAGATTATTGCATCAGTAAAAGGCTGTTACTTAAAAATAATTCATTCTACTGTATAGAAAGCTAAGAATAAAAGCTTGGAGAGTGAGGTACAGTGAAACATCAATATAATGGACTATTTCAGCAACAGGGTGTCTGTTAAAGCCGAAAGTCCGTTATATAATTTCCGAATGTGTATGTTAAAGAATTGAGAAATTAGTTAGCTTACCTGTTTTTACTTATATAGATGTTTGCGTAATTAAAATTTATTATGAAAAATTTAATTTCACAGAAAAGTTTTCTGTATGTATTACTGTAATTTTACATTTATAATGAATGGCTATAGTAAATGCACACATTCACCAGTACCTGTGAGTAAACAGATGCACACGGCTGGGGCGTGGCTCAGTGTACGTGGGATATAGGCCGCTGTACTTACTAAGCTGCAGAAAGTCACACTGGGCGACAACAGAACCAATTCTGTGTGCTGTGTGGTGTGATCATATGCTAATCAATCTCGAGCATTGTTTACGAACAGTGACTCTTGGATTTAAATATGAAGATTCTAGTTGTAGATATGTAATATTTATGTATGTCAGTGAAATTACCAGTGTTTTTTTCCAACATATGGAAAATTTGGGCTAAAATTTGTTAAAAATACAGTGAATTAAAAACAACAACAAAATAACTTGTTAATTTAATTATACGCAAATCTTGGTTAAAGCATCTGTAAATGAACAGGGTGTTAATTTTCACACGACATATGGACCAAAATGCTGTCTGTTAAATCGAGGTCCGCAAAATCAAGGGTTTACTTTAATATGGACTCTGTGAGAGTCAAAGGGAAGAAAAATCCCCCTAAATAGCAGATAATAGTGTCAAAGTACAACTGTTTATTTGTTCTAACAGTGGAACAGGGAGGGGGCTTATGTTAGAGTAGAATGTGCTATGCGATGGTCTTTCAATATTACTTTGTCCAAGGAAAGTTAACAATAGCAAAATTACTTTTCATTTTTATTATGGTTAGGAAGATTTTACTTTAAAGTATATGAGTAATAAAATCTATATATTGTATATATATAAAAAAAATAAAATCAAAATATGCAAATACATTTGCATATATAATTTTGGATATCTAGTTCAACAAGATTTATTGCTATTAGTAAAGCATAGATACGTTTGTAAAATTTAAATGCTTAAAAATCTGAGCATATTAAATGTAGGTATGTTTAGAATAAAAGAAAACAAGTATATTTAAAGAAACTGAAAGTTATTTAAATCTGGCCTATAAATAAGTAGAAATTAGAGTTGTCTCTTAATAAACTTAGAAACATTTCTTAAGACTAAGACGTTTACACAATACTTGAACACTAAAAAATACCTGCAATTATTATAAAAGGAACAGGAGAAAAGGAAGAAACACAGTAAGGCAGGAAACCAAGGAAAGTTCAAGCTCTTTATGACTCTATAATGTTCTATATAGAGTTAAAATTCTTCCAGGATACGAGTGAGACAAGGTTTAATTATAATCCTAGAAATCACGCAGTCAATTTTCATTCAACTCCAGGAATAACATTCTCTCCGTTTTGAGTACAAATTACATCACAAGTGCTTCCCGGCACTCAGTGGCAGCCTCTGTGACATTTCCTTTCAGACCACAGCCACACAGCTGAACTTCAAATGAACACTGGCAGGAAATGAGGAAAAAAAGAAGGTGCTCGGCATCAGGAGATGAAAAACACTTTTAAAAAAATGGTAGCCGATCCAAGTGTGCCAGACACCAGGCTCTGGGTGCGGCACACTGACAACTCTCACAGCAGTCTGACGGCACCCAGACTTCAGCACACGACGTTTTACTTTATGCCTCCCCACAGTTAGTATTTACGTCAAACTCTTCTTTTCCTCTGTATTTCTTTTTTTTAAAAAGAAAGCTTTCCCCTTCCTGTGCCACTCTTAGCAGCCTCATTTGGTTATGCTCAGTGGGAAATGAGGCTCGAAATACACGATCACATAAAACAATGTTTGCAGTGGAACAAAATAATGCAACTCAAGTACTTGTACCAGGGGCAGGGAGAGGACTCGAGCGAGTGGTGAGGAGTTAGTCATTACTAAATGAACCTCTGCTGCCCACCCAGACAACGTACTTGTAAGAAGACAATGCTATGACGACAGGAGCATTCTGACCTGGTCAATAATGATCAGTGGTTGTAATATAGCAAAAATAAAAATCACACTAGGATCAAAAAGGAATAATTTAAAAATATATCCACCCCCATCTCTCTCACTTTCACTCTCACACACACAAAGAAATAATTTGACAGCAGGTTGGAGATGGAGAATTATACATAAAAATATCTACCAAGAGGGAAGTTGGAAGTAGTGATTTTATAAACTCAGTATCACATTGTGAGATTAAAATATTAATACACATTTATTTCTATTACTTTCCCTGATATGACAGGACATATGATAAATATACCATCACATAAGAATTTGTCCTAAATATTATTTGTCAATCCCAAGAGTGTCATATTGCTTATTCTAAAGGTATATCATAAAGTGATAGATCTGTACAATGCGTAACTAAACAATGCGTAGTTTATAATGGTGTATGGAGAACATCATGGAAAAGCGGGAAACTAAACTGTATGTTCCAGCAAAACAAGTCAACACTTAAGATACTTAAATATTTAGAAATCACTGATGTACTAAACTACGCGTCACAATCCCATAAAGAAACTAAGTCTTTTATTTTAAACTTTTAGTCCATTGTTAGTCCTTAAACTTCTTAATGAACTGTTAATCTTTCTCAGGCACGTATGTTCCTCATACACAAACTCTGGGTCCAGAAACACATACCTGACTCGCATGGGGATGGGCTGGAGCAGGGGTGGAGAGCAGCTCTCCTTTCTCCGCAATTCCATGGAAAATCACCCAGTCCCATTTGCAAGAAATAAATTTTTATTTGCACACATCCAAGAAATAGAAGAAAGTAAAAAACACTGCAACCTTCCTCAAACCAGAACATTTCTTTAGAAGTTTATGTTTGCAAAGGACTTTTATATTTCCCATTTGACTTAAATGAATCTGAAGTATAAAAACAAAATCACAAAAATACCAACTCAGAGACTTACTCCGTCTTTTTCCAACATCTCCTTTGGATGTTGCCGCTTCGTTTAGAAGAACCATCCCCATGGTGATAGCAGCATCTAGAGTAATTGTCAAGGAAACAGCAGAAATAGATGCAAATAAAATCTACTAATTTCTCTGGATCTGAACACAATGTGCTGTTCCAGAATATTTAAATTACCAAGGCACACAGAGGTAAATACGATTCATTCTCTTCATATAAAAGAACATTATCACTCTTTGTGTTTAAATCTACCTTAATTTTTAAAATATATAACCTAAAGCCTTGTGAGATTTTTCAGGACTTTCACAGCACATATGATTTATGTCGACTCTCAAAACCAAGAATGACATTTTACATTATCCATACAGGCATGTGTTAGAGTCACAATGACACATTACATTGGCAATCATAGAAAATTAAAATATATTCAGCATAAAAACCAAACAAGTTTGGTCAGAAGCCACATGTAACAGGAGAAAAAGCCACTACCAGCCCTGTGCAATACCATCACCCCCCACCTCACCCCCAATTCCCCACCCAACACACGTATATACATATACCACCACTAAACTTTAGGGGTACACAGTTTGAAAACCAGTAGAATTTAGATAATTACTAACTTCCTTGAGTTTCAGCCATGCAGTGATGGCCTGAATGAATGTTTCATGCTACCAGTATGATAAACCTATGGACTTTAGGGGTTCATTACTCTTAAGGTGTTTTGAACAGGCTCTCGACATAAATTCCAAGTCCAAAGTCATTGCTAATAGTGGCAGAAAAAACTAAAGGCTTGTATCATTCAACTTGTTCACATGTAGGTAATTTCTAAGGCTTCGTTCTTTGAAGCGGACGGATGTGACTGATATAAGTCCTTAATGAGTTAAGTTAGGATTCCCCTTTCATCTTTCTCTGGCAACACCCTTTTTATTCACATATAAATTTTAATCTACACATTTAATTATACATATTTGACTTACTAAAAATTAATACAGAAATTTATATTTTAACTATGACCTTTTTTTGCAAATATATGGAATATAAATGACATTTTAAAATGACCTTATGTAGATATTATCAATAAAAATATTTATTTTATGACTTCATCTGCCAAGTAGCTTCTAAAATTTCATTAATAAGATCATGGGGAAAATATGGTTTACAAAATTAAATGGATCAAAGACTTGACCATAAAATCTAATACTATAAAATTCCTAGAAGAAAACAGAGAAAGAACTACATGCAGACAATTGGGCTAAGCACTGCACAAGAATTCCTCTCATTAAGCCCCTAACAATGTTGTGAGGTGGGTGCTGTTTTATTCTTGTTTATAAACTAAGATAATGAAACCTACAGAAGTTAAATAACTGGACAAGGTGTTAAGTAGCTTTTACTATTTTAATGCTCTTTACCTTAAACCTTCATACTATAATTAAGTGGTTAATACACTAATCGTATATATAATTATCTAACCGTAGTCATCAAATTTATCAGTTTTGTATCCTTTGATTTTGTGTTTGTCACTAATTAGCATCCTTCCATTTCATCTTAAAGAACTCCTCTCAGCATTTCTTGCAAGGCAGGTCTAGTGGTGGTGATCTCCTTCAGCTCTTGTCTGGGAGAGTCTTTATCTCTCCAAATCTAAAGCATAACTTTCCTGGATAAAGTATTCTTGGGTGAGAGTTTTTATATTCCAATACTTTGAATGGCATTCCACTCTCTCCTAACCTACAGAGTTTCTGCCAAAAGTCCACTGATAGCCAAATGGGAGTTCCTTTATAGGTTACTTTATAGGTTACTTTATTTTCCCTGGCTGCCTTTAAGATTCTTTATTGTTGATTTTTGATAGTTTCATTACAATGTGTCTTGGCAAAGGCCTTGATGTATTGGGATCAATAAGGTGCTTTATTTGAGCTTTGTGGACTTGCAGGTGTGGTTCCCCCTGCCACGATAATGACTCGCTCTGCTGACTTTTAAATTGTTTTGAAGGTTTTCATTTTAACATGGCAAAGCTGTTAGTCTTTTTCTTTATGAATTTTGGTTATTTCTCACTTATGAAATTAAGTCATCTAAACAGTTATCTAATGTCGTTAAAGTTATGTCATTTTTCTGCTCAGAACACTAGCTTTCCGTCTCGTCAGAGTAAACCTGAAGGCCTCCAAACGGCCTCAAGGCCACACCTGACCCGCACCCTGACCCGCACCCTGACCCGCTGACTACAGCTCTCGCCCCTTTGCTATTCTTCCGACCAGAAGGCCCCTCTGCCTGGAAGCCCTGCACTTGCCCTTCCTCTGCGTGAGAGGCTCTTCCCCAGATATCCCTGTGCTCCCG